GGCATACATACATTCATAACAATCACATCTACCACTACTTACTTGTATGGCTGTAATTCCCTCGCATGTAAAACCATTTTTTGTATTGTTTTGTTCGTCGTCATTTCTTCTGGCAGTTTACCTTCCAATGTCCTCATATTTATATCAACATACTCTAAATCCTGTCAAAGAATGAAAATATGACAATTATTGAATTAGTTTTGATTCAGTGTGCTTATAAATCAGTGTGATTCAGTGCACATAAATATATCAGTATGATTCAGTGCACATAAATAAATCAGTGTAATTCAGTGCGCATAAATAAATCAGTGTGATTCAGTGCACATAAATAAATCAGTGTAATTCAGTGCACATAAATAAATCAGTGTGATTCAGTGTACATAAATAAATTAGTGTGATTTAGTGTACATAAATGAATCAATGTGATTCAGTGTACATAAATAAATCAGTGTGATACAGTGTGCATAAATAAATCAGTATGATTCAGTGCACATAAATAAATCAGTGTAATTCAGTGCGCATAAATAAATCAGTGTGATTCAGTGCACATAAATAAATCAGTGTAATTCAGTGCACATAAATAAATCAGTGTGATTCAGTGCACATAAATAAATCAGTGTAATTCAGTGCACATAAATAAATCAGTGTGATTCAGTCCACATAAATAAATCAGTGTGATACAGTGTGCATAAATAAATCAGTGTGATTCAGTGTGCATAAATAAATCAGTGTGATTCAGTGTACATAAATAAATCAGTGTTATTCAGTGTACATAAATAAATCAGTGTGATTCAGTGTGCATAAATAAATCAGTGTAATTCAGTGTACATAAATAAATCAGTGTGATTCTGTGTACATAAATAAATCAGTGTGATTCAGTGCACATAAATAAATCAGTGTAATTCAGTGCGCATAAATAAATCAGTGTGATTCAGTGCACATAAATAAATCAGTGTGATACAGTGTGCATAAATAAATCAGTGTGATTCAGTGTGCATAAATAAATCAGTGTGATTCAGTGCACATAAATAAATCAGTATGATTCAGTGCACATAAATAAATCAGTGTAATTCAGTGCGCATAAATAAATCAGTGTGATTCAGTGCACATAAATAAATCAGTGTAATTCAGTGCACATAAATAAATCAGTGTAATTCAGTGCACATAAATAAATCAGTGTGATTCAGTGCACATAAATAAATCAGTGTAATTCAGTGCACATAAATAAATCAGTGTGATTCAGTCCACATAAATAAATCAGTGTGATACAGTGTGCATAAATAAATCAGTGTGATTCAGTGTGCATAAATAAATCAGTGTGATTCAGTGTACATAAATAAATCAGTGTTATTCAGTGTACATAAATA